TTCCATCCGCCTTTTTTAATATTTTATTAAAACTGTAGTTTTTTTTACCAGTTTTAAGCTTTACAGTTCTAAATACCTAAAAGAATATTCGGCAAGTTTTCTTTTATAAGTTCAAAGTCGGAAAATAGTGCACCAGAGACGGCTCTAAACAGTAATGATGCTTGAAGTAAAGGTAGTGTTGGTGAATAAACAGTGCGAACATGGCTCCAGAAATTCTGATCTGGCGATTTTGACCTCGATGATAAGGAACGCCACGGACGTCGCAGTGAAACTAATGACGACGAATTGAAAGCACTATTGGGAGCGAACACGCGAGCAACTGTTTGAAAGCCTACAGAAAACTTAGCATAAGCACAAGAACAATTTTTACTCACTTGATTCGCAGAAGAAAGACAAAAAAAATCGACAAGTGGGTGCTGCACGAGTTAAACGGTGATCAAAAAAATCGCCTTTTTGAAGCGTCATCTGCTGTTCTTCTTCGCAACAAAAACGACCCTTTTCTTGATGGAATTATGACGTGCGACGAGAAGTAGATTCTGTACGACAATCGGCGACATTAAGCTTAATGCGATCAGGATCTACATCACTTCCCAAAGCCGAAATTGCACCAAAAAAGGTTATGGTGACTGTTTGGTGGTCTGCAGCCGAGCTTATTCATCATAGCTTTTTGAATCCCGGCGGAACGATTACGGCAGAAAAGTATTGCCAAGAAATCAACGAAATTCACCGTAAACTCCAACAGCAACGACCGGCATTAGTTAACAGAAAACGACCAACCTTTCTCCACAATAATGACCGGCCACACGGTGAGGAACAAGTGCTGAAGAAGTTGAACGAGTTGAGCTACGAAACTTTGCCTCATCCGCCGTGTTCGTCCGGCCTCCCGCCTACCGACTATCACTTCTTTAGGCACCTATGCATCTTCCTACGCAAGAAATGGTTCACCAACCACGATGACGCGAAAAATGCCTTCAACAAATCTATCGCTTTCAAAACTCCACAGTTTTGTGCAACTGCAATAAATGAACTTTTTTCTGATTGGCAAAAATATATAGATTCAAATGGTCTTTGTTTCAATTAACAATATTTTCTATGAAGCATGTTATGACATTTTAAATAGCATGGTTAAAAACGCTCATTTATTTCTGAACCACCTAGTAATAATGGTTGGCCCATGAGGTTTTATAACGCTGGTGTGAAAATAATGGGTAGTATGAAATGCTGAGATGTTTGCAAAACTCCGGACCGCAGGTGTATGCAGTGGGGGTAACGAACAAGCGCTATTGTCCTTGCCAGGGAGCAGCGCACTTCACCACTACACTATCCGGGTCCTTCGTCATGCCTGTCTCTCAGCTAGTCCTATTGATCTTTTTGCCATCAGCAATCACCCGTCAACGGGATAGATCTGGGGAGCCCAAATCGGCATTGAACCCAGTTAAGCTGAGGCTTAGTTATAGTCACGATCTTAACCCTTTTATTTACACCTGCGGTCCGAAGTTTTGCAAATATCTCAGCATTTCGTACGAGTTATATTTCGCAATATATCCTGCCATTAAGAAGAAAAAGGCAGTAAATAAAAGGGTTAAGATTGTGATTATAACTAAGCCTCAGCTTACCTGGGTTAAATGCCGATTTGGGCTCCCCAGATCTATCCAGTTGACGGGTGATTGCTGATGGCAAAAAGGTCGATAGAACTAGCTGAGAGACAGGCAAGACGAAGGACCCTGACGGTGTAGTGGTGAAGTGCGCTGCTCCTCGGTAAGGACAACAGCGCGTGTTTGTTCCCCACTGCATACATCTGCCGTCCGGAGTTTTGCAAATATCTCAGCATTTCATACGAGTTATATTTCGCAACATGCCATGCCATTAAGAAGAAAAAGGCAGTAAATAAAAGGGTTAAGATAAAGGGTAGTTTTATCGCTATGAAATCAGTGAAAAAATTTTGTTGTAAATATGAATTGGAATGGATTGTTGATGTACATTATTTTAAAGGCTACTTCTTGCTTAACAATGTGAAATCCAATACTCGTTTTTGAAGCAAGGTTTATAATAATTTAAGACCAGCTGAAACACTACACACAAATAATTTCGTGTCGTTTCGCTGCATGAGTTGAAACTTGAACATAAAGCAAAAGTAGTAATTCGAATTATCGTCGATGCGTGTGCCAGAAGGGTCCTCTGAAGATCCAGTGCGCAGATGGTTGAAAAGGCTTCGTACTGGTCATGTGAGTCTTCACAACGGGGAAGCTCGAATGTCCCAATCGACAATTGACGATGGCCATGTGAACTCGATAGCCGAAGCTGCTCCAATAGAAACGCTTGATAGTTTGAAGACAAACCCAATATTCAAGATTCAATAATGGTTAGAAGTTTGCAAGATAATGGAATGGCTAAGATGCTTGACAAACGGGTGCCACATAAATTAAAATGGATGGCATTGAGATCGTTCGCCACAAAGTCTATTCTGAAGTAAGATAACGAATTGGGTTACGAAACCCTTCCTTATCGATCTTCCACAGAGCAACAACTGATACATTATTCGTCTCGACCACCAATTTCTGACAAAATCTTCGGAAACTAAGCAGCCGTAAAAAGTTACATTAAAGAATTGGTGGATCTCAATAAATCGAAATTATAATCTACCGAAATAAATCAACTTGCACCATTCACGTAAAAATTTGTAGTTTTAAAAGCTGTTACTTCGACAGTCAGGGTTCCTCTTATAGGATTAAACCATCGCTGAATCTTGGAAACTATGTGCACTTCCACACCTAGTATGGCAACCATTCAGTCATCAGTAGGAATAGAATAGTAATTGTTCTTAAGTAGTTCCTATTTCTATGTCACCTTATGTCTTCTACAATAGCTGTCTACTTGTAATCGTCATACATCTATTCTTGCATATTCTGTAAATCGTCTCTTAGCAACCATTTCATGTAATTGCTTCCCAGGTGGTTGAAAAGGAAATCAGCAGAAGTCAGCTGAATGTACTTTTTAGCATCTGCCGTCCCAAAAAAGCTTCCGAACAAACACCTGCACTCTTCCACATGTAGCTCTATCAAATTGTGCTAGTAGGAAAACTTTTAGAACCCCTCTCTGGGTGCTGTCTTTAGTTCTCTCTAGCAAAGCTCCACCCACTACAGAAGTAGTGCAGACAGCCCATAGGCACTGATCTTCAAGCGTTAGCCGCGTTCGCCTGGTCTTCTTCCGGTCCCTCAATTCCTCAGTGCTCCAACTCCAGTGTGCGCCTTGCTTCCTTCAAGTGTATTACTTGTTCCCATTTCAATGTCGCTCGTATCCACCCAGCTTACGTATCGTCAAATAAAACACATTATTATTGTATCGTTGTTTTTGCTATAAACTTATACCCAAACTCGAGGTTGTTCAAGACAGTTACGGAGAAAGGTCTCGCTTGGCGAATTCATATGAAGTCGAGCATTCCACGTACAGTTGGCGGACAAAAGACAAATCCGATCAACTCCGTAATCCACTGGCCAACTAGCACAAATCCCACGAACTATGAGAGGTTCTCTTCCATCTTCGTCGAGTACATACTCGATCGAGGTTAACAGAAATTGAGCGAAATTCCGTTTCTTCCTAAGCACTGGTAAAATAGAAGAAATTGCAAATGTAGAATTCATTCCAGGATAATAAGATCTTACTTGTGAAAAAAATGTGGCCTTACATATATATATATATATA